AATGAAAGAGGAATTACCTCTACATATCCAATAAACATATAATATAAAAGGGTATATTTTAAATAATTTTATGCCAATAAGTTCAACAACTTAGGTGAAATGGACAAATTTTTGAAAAACACAATTTACCAAAACTGATACCAGATGAAGCAGAAGATCTGAATAGCCCTCTATATTAAAGAAATTGAACTTACTAAAAAACAAAAAAGTACCAAAGAGAAAACGCCAAACTCAGATGGTTTTACTGATGAATTCTGTTAAAAATCTAAAGAAGAGGTAATACCAGTCTTAAATCTTACAGAAAATGGAGGGAGAACAGTTCCTAACCCATTTCATGATGCCAACATAACCCTAAACCTGATAAAGATATTATAAAAAAAGAAAATTACAGACCAGTATCTCTCATGAACAGAGACATAAAAATACTTAACATAATTTTAACAAATTGAATGAAGTAATAGATAAAGATATAATGTGTTGTGACCACACTGGGTTTATCCTAGAAAAGCAAGGCTGATGTAACATTCAAAAATCAATCGATGTAATTCACCACATTAAACACAATGAAGGAGAAAACAATAGATTAACAGAGTCTGAAAACTTATTTGACAACATAAGATTAAAAGACAAAAAAACCAATCTTCTAGCAAAATAGATATGGAAGAGAATTTCCTGAATCTGTTAAAGGGCATCTATGAAAAACCTATAGCTAACATTGTACTTAATGATGAGATTTTGACCATTTGTTCCTTAAAAAGATCTGGAACAAAGTAAGGTTGCCTATTCTTAGAAAGAAAGAAACAAAACTGTCTTATTTATAGTTGGCATGATTGTTTATGTATAAATTCCTAAGATACATACAAAATAACTACTAGAACGAAAAGATGAATATAGCAAGGTCATAGGATATAAGGTCAGTATACAAAAATCAATTGTATTTTTCTATATTAGCAGTGAACCAATTGGAAAATGAAAAATAATAATTATATTGAAAATAGAGTTTAAAAGCCTTAGAATACTTAGGAACAAAAATATGTAAAAGACATAATATCTGTACAGTGGTCACTCAAAATATTGCAGTGATAAACTAAAGAAAAACTAAATCATGCATTATACATAATTATGAATTAAAAGATTTATATTGTTAAGATGTCAGTTCTTGGGAATTCCCTGGTGGTGCACTGGTTAAGAATCTGCCTGCCAATGCGTGGGACAGGTTTGATCCCTGGTCCGGGGAGATCCTGCATGCCGTGGAGCAACTAAGCCTGTGTACCACAACTACTGAGCCTGTACTGTAGAGCCCACGAACCACAACTACTGAGCCCGCACGCCTAGAGCCCATGCTCCACAACAAGAGAAGCCACCACAATGAGAAGCACGTGCATGGCAACAAAGAGTAGCCCCCGCTTGCCAAAACTAGAGAAAGCCTGTGTGCAGCAAAGGCCCAATGCAGCCAAAAAATAAATAAATTTACTGAAAAAAAAAAGAAGATGTCAGCTCTCACTAAATTGAAATATAACTTTATTTAAATCTAAACAATAATTCAAATAGACTTTTTTGGGTAAAAATTGACAGTCTAATTCAAAACTGTGTGGAAAGGACTGTGAATATAAAAGGACTTAGAATAAAGCAATCCTGAAAAAGTACAACAAAGTTGGAGCACTTAAGCTATCTGACTTCAAGACTTAGCATACAGCTACATTAATCAGCATTTTACTAACATGAAGGTTGACCAGTAGATAATAAAACACCATAGCCCACACATTATGGTCACTTGATTTTCAACAAATCACCAGGGCAAACAACTTGGGAAACAAAAGTCTTTTCTATAAATGGTGCTGGAACAACAGGATATCCATATGAAGAAACAGTGAAGCTTGACCCCTTCCTCATACCATATAAAAATTAATTCAACATGAAGTATAGACAGGGCTATCATATAAAGCTAAAACTATAAAGCTTCTAGAATAGGACTGTTCAGTAGAACTTTCTGCAGTGTTAGAAATGGCCTATATCTGCTGTCCAGTAAGGTAGCTGCTAGTCATATTATTGATTTGAAATGTGGGTATTGCGACTTTGGAAATGTATTCAAATTTTTGTTTAATTTTTAATTAATTCATATTTAAATAGACTCATGTGGCTTATGGCTACTGTACTGAACACTACAGTTCTAGAAGAAAGCATAGGAGAATGTTTTTGCTAGCTGAGGGTAGGCAGCTGTTCCTTATGACACAGAAAGCAATAACTATAACAGAAAGAGTAGGTGAATTAGACTCATCAAAACTGACAGCTTTTTCTTTCATAAGATACCACTAAGAAAATAAATAGGCAAACTACAGACTGGGAGAAAATATTTGCAAAACAAATATATTGACAAAATACTGATATTAGGATATACAAAGAACTCTTAAAGTTCAATAATAGAGAGACCTACAGTCCAATTAAAATGGAGGTAAAGTATTCAAACAGACACTTCACAGAGGAAGGTAATACACAAGCCCAATAAGCAGCAGAAAAAATGCTCACCATACTTTGTTGTCATGGAAATGCAAATTAAAGCATGAGATACTACCACATATACCTCTGAAAGGCCAATATTTTAAAATTAAAACTGACAGTATTAAATGCTATCCAAGATGTGGAACAACAGGAATTCTCATACATTGACGGTGGGAGGGTAAATTGGTACTGTTTGGGGGAAAGTTCTGCTAGTTTCTTCTAAATTTGTAAAATAACCCTTCAGTTCTATTCCTAGACATTTACCTAAGAGAAATAAAAGCATACGTTCACAAAAAGATGTACAGAAGATCTTGCAGTTTTATTCATAATGATAAAAATAAGAAACAGCCGAAGTGCTGATCGATAAGAGAATGGATAAATAAGCTGTGGCATATTTATACTACGGAATACGATTACTCAATAAAAAGGAACAAAGCAGCCCCATGGATAAAGCTCAAAAACATTATGCAAGTGAAAGAAACCTTACATAAAAGGACACGTGCTGTGAGATTTGATTTATACGTAGTTTAGGGAGAGACAAGAGTAATGTGAGATAGAAAAATATCAGAAATGTGCTTGCCTCTTATGGGGGATGAGACTGACCAAGAAGGAACATAAGGAACTTTCTGGGGTTATGAGAATGTTGATTAGGTAGTTTGTGTCACATAGTTTCGTACGTTTGTCAAAACTCATAGAATGGTACCCTTAAGATTGGTGCATTTTATTTTATGTAACTGTTACCGGAAAATAAAATAATTTGAACTGTAGCTATATGTTTAGGGGTTTAGTGTACTGAATTCTACAACTTACTTTGAAATGCTTCAGTGCAATAAAATAGGTTGGTGTATATGGCCAGTGGGATGATTCATATACGACAAAGCATAGACAGTAAGTGTTCACCATAGACTCTAGGTAGTGGGTATATAAGTGTTTCCTGTACAAATTCTTAATTCTTTCAACTTTTAAGAATTAAGAAATCTTAATTCTGTCGATCTTCCTGTATGTTTGAACATTTTCCTAATGAATGTTGGAAAAATGTTTAATGTGATCTTTCATTATAAAAGTGATATATGCCCCCACAAAGATATTGGGAAAATGTAGAAAATTAAAGGAAGAAATAATATTTTCTATAGCCCAACTATCCAGAAATAATGATTACCTGACGCTTTTGCTTTGTCTTTTTTTTTGCCTTATTTTTTCCTTAATGGCTATGATCATATTTTATATGCTGTCCTATATCTTATACTTGTCTCCTATAGAAATATCCTATTTTTTCCCCAGTAAGCTTTATAACATATTTCCACTGCCAGATAATATTCTACTGAGCTTACTTAGGTGTCCACTCATTTTGTGTTTAAATTGTTTTTCCTGTTTTACTGATAGACTAATGGATGTCATTTTACAGGAAGTTTGTTCTGTGTTTGAGATCCTTGTAAGTGAAAGTACCATGTGGAAGGGTATATGAAGTTTCAGAGCCCATCGTACACATGTCAAATTGTTGACTTTTCCATCCCTTTTACAGAGTGATGCCTGAGACATCTCCACAGAACCCCCAAACCTCCTCAAAGCCCAATTAAAATACCACCCACTGATCTGGAATATTTGAGTTATTCACTGGCTGTGTGACAAAGTGGATTTTTAAAAATCCATTTATTTTTGTCATTCTAAGGTTCAGAGAAGTTTAGTAAGTTGCCAGAGGTCCCAGCTAGTAATGGGCAGAGCCACCCTTTGATCCCGTACATGTCAAGGCAGTATTCAGCGCAAAACGTGCTTAAGAATGCTTATTAACTGAACACACGGATAACTGAAGGTCACAAAGGCTGAGATCAATTTAGAGTTACATTTCCTATGTATTTCCCTTCAGAACTGTGAAAGACTTAGGTTAGTTTCTTTCTGATATGAGCCTGGATGACGTTCTCATTTGCATATTGGTTTATTTGTTCTGTCCATCTACCTACCTCATGTAAAGGAAGCAGGCTTCTGATTTTCCTTTGGCTCAGGACACAGGTGAAGCCCATGTATTCTTAGTTGCTAATTGTGTATTGTTGGAAATGTGGTCCAGGTCAGAGTGACATGAATATCCTGAGGACTCTTTCTTTGCCGTCCAGGCTTCTAGTGTGAATCACAAAAGGATTTATGTGTATGGTGTGTGATCCTCTCCTCTGAGGGATACGTGGCTGTAGGTTTCCATAGGCAGCAGGGGTGTTCTCTGGTGTCCTCAGTGTCTGGGCATCCTGCACACTCATGGGGAAGAGTGAGCTGGGCTGCCATCAGCACAGACACTATACTCGACAGCAGTGTGAGCCGTGCGCCAGAAAGCTGTGATTCCAGGGGCTGTGGAGACTGCTGGCTTTTGGGGACATGGCCCTCCTCTAAAACGGGGACTAGAAAGGCAGGGGCCGGTTCCTTTATAAACAAACCCAGAGGAGGGATTGGTTGTCCTTGTGCACAAGGAAGAAAACAGGCTAATTATTCCTTATTTATTACATTTCTCTGCTCAGAGAACGAATCAAGTATTGCTGTGAGCAGCTGCGTACCCTGTTGCCGTATGTGAAGGGGAGAAAGAATGATGCAGCTTCGATTCTCGAGGCAACAGTTGACTACGTGAAGTATGTCCGGGAGAAAATCCCTCCAGCCGTCATGGGCCAGGTAGTCACCTCTCAAGCCCTTGAATTTTATTCTCGCAGACAGTGCTTTAATGCTACAGTTTTATTTCTTTTATTTTTTATAGTTAGAAATGTGTGTGTTTGTGTGTATATACGAAAAAAATCTATAGCCATAGCTATCTAAGTAGATCTCAATCTCTTTCTTTCTTCATTTCTTAGATTACAGAAGTACTTCAGAGCAATAGGAGGTTTTGTAAGAAACAACAAATGCCCATCCAGCTCTCCGCCCCAGGCACGATTATGGCACAAAGGTATGATCATCTAAATCTTGTGAATCTGAGGTCGCCTTGTTATTTTCCTCTGGTACTAATGCTAGAAATGAGACAGGCAGTGAACCCACCCATAATGAGAACTAAATGGTACTGATGAACCTAGTTGCAGGGCAGGAATAAAGAGGTAAACATAGAGAATGGACTTGATGATGTGGGCTGGGAGGGCGAAGCTGGGGCTAAGTGAGAGTAGCATCGACGTATATACACTACCGAATATAAAATAGTTGGCTTGTGGGAAGCAGCAGCATAGGACAGGGAGATCGGCTCGGTGCTTTGTGATGACCTAGAGGGTGGGATAGGGAGGGTGGGAGGGAGGCTCAAGAGGGAGGGGATATGGGGACATGTGTATGCACATGGCTGATTCTCTTTGTTGTGCAACAGAAACTAACACGGTATTGTGAAGCAATTGTATTCCAATAAAGATCTATTAAAAAAAAAGAATCAGTAAACTTTTCCCATTGCTGATGTGTGTCATTTAATTACAGTGATAAAATATGTAATATTCTCAGGCCCATGATCCTTTCATCATTTGACTCACTCTTTCTTTTGTTGTTTCTTAAAACGGGGCTTTATGAGTAGTGCCTGTGGTGATTGACGGTGCAGTCAGGATGAGATAGATTCTAGCATTCCTCTGTCACCAGGGCAGTCCAGCCCCATTTTCAGGTGGGGGTCCTTAAAGACATTTCTAGTATAACAGGTGACGTGCCAAATGAATGCTTCCTTACTTAAATTGATTAGAATGTGTACACCAAGAAAAGCTCTAAAGGAAAAGTAAACCATTCCTCCATATCCTGAAGAACCATCCTGAGTCCTCTTCTACGGTTTGTTCTTATAATTAATCCAGAGCATAGGCTCTGTCTTTGCTTTTTAGAACTTGAACGTAAGAAGAGCAGTTCAACTCAGCAATGTTCATATCATCTTCCTTGAGAAATGCCTAAAGAATGTTTTGTTTTTTTAAGAGAAAACAGTGTGTTGACAAGCACTTATTCACCTGTGAGAGGGATCAGATTCCTGGCTAATAAGCGCTTGAACGGGTTCTCTGTTCCTGCCTCCGGGGCTCCCTTGGATGAAGCTGTGAGAGGTGAGCTCCACCCACTGCCCTGTGCAGCCGTAGTGTGCATGGGCGCGCGCGCGTGTCCTGCTCACCCTGGGCCTTCTGTGCAGGCACTGCCGTAACCAGGGGATGGAGCGTAGCTGGGAGATTACACCCTGAGTCCTTTGGTGCTGTCTGCTTGAAAGACATGGCTGGCCACTGGCATTTAAATAATTTTACCCCAGAAAGTGGGCTGAAAATTGACTCTCATTACCAGAAATCTCATCTTAATGATAGATGATGAGCACACTGATGACTATGTGTATTACTGAATAGAATCTAAAGGGAGGGAAGTATTCATATTAATTTAGTGCTAACAGTGTGTAGGCAGACCTCAGAAATACCGTGAGTCCTGTTCCAGACCACTGCAATAAAGCGAATATCGCAATAGGGTAACACGTGTTTTGGTTTCTCAGTGCATATAAAAGTTATGTTTACACTCTATCGTAGTCTATTAAGTATGTAATACATATGTCTCAAATATTAATGTACATGCCTTAATTTTAAAATATGTCATTGCTTTAAAATGCTAGCCATCGTCTGAGCCTCCAGCAAGTATTAGTTGTAACATCAAAGATCACTGATCACCAGCTTGGTGCTTTGTGACCGCCTGGAGGGGTGGGATGGGGAGGGTGGAGGGAGGGAGATGCGGGGTGGCGGGGGAGATATGGTAACGTGTATATGTGTGGCTGATTCACTTTGTTATAAAGCAGAGACTAACACACCATTGTGAAGCAATTATACTCCAATAAAGATGTAAAAAAAAAAAATGCTAACCATCATCTGACAATGCAGGGTTGCCACAAACCTTCAATTTGTTTTTGAAAAAAAAAAACAACTCTTCAAAACACAATGGAAGTACAATAAAGCAAAGCACAGTAAAATGAGATATGCCTGTATAAAAATATTAAACACATTTTTAATAAGGAACATGGATTCACATCACACTTAGGAAGGTTGAAGCATACCTTTGAAACTCCTGAAACAACCGAAATAATAAAGCGATTTCCTTACAACCTGAAATCAAAAAAAAAAAAAAAAAAAGATCACTGATCACTGATCACCGTAACAAATATGCTAATAATGAAAAGGTTTAAGATACTGTGGGAATTAGCAACGTAACACAGAGACATAAAGGGAGCAAATGCTGTTGGAAAAACGGCATCAATAGACTTACTTGATGTAGGGTTGCCACACACCTTCAATTTGTAAAAAAACAGAGTGTCTGCAAAGTGCAATAAAACAAGGCCTGCCTGTATTGAGCATTTAACATATTAATTGATTTACCTCCTTTGTGTCTTTGCTTAATTGTCACCTTCTCAGTGAGTCTTTCTCAACCACCCAATTAAAACTGCACACTCCTCCCCAGCATCACATAATACGGGGGACTCCTTATCCACTCTCTCTGCTGTATTTTTCTTCATAGCACTGTTCTCCTTCTAATATTCTTTTCTTGCCTGTTTTTTTATTGCCTGTCTTCTGCCACTAGAATATCAACTCCACAAGGACAGGGATTTTTTTTGCCTCTTTTGTTCATTGCTGTATCTCTAGTACCTAGAACAATGACCAGCTCACAGTAGGTGATCAAGAAACATTCATTATATGAATATTCCATTGTGGATATTCAGTGTTTACCCACTGGGAGGCATTTTTGTTATTTGTATTATAAAGTCTAGGCATGCCCATGTGCTTGTACAAATAAGATGGAAAAAAAGCAGAGCCAGAGTAAAAGAACATAGCTGCCAGTTTGTGACTTTTAGTACATATTCCCAAAGGTTATTCTTCACTGAGAAGCCAGTAAGTTATAGAGCATGTAACCTGCGTGTTAGGTGCTTATGACCAGAGGCCCTACCATCTCCCCCCCCTGCCTGAGTCTGAGGTCACCTTTCTACTGGTTTCTTCGAAGGGATTCCACTGCCTCATGTCAGCACCTCCCTGTGCTGGGAATGCCCTTTCCCACGCTCTGCCTGGCTCACCCCCAGTCATCGCTTAGTTCTCAGCTTAAATGTTTCTGCCTCAAAGATGGGGGGACACGAGGACAGACATGGTGCAGTTCTTGTTCTTAGGGAGCTCGCAAATGAGCAGCAGACAGGGTCATAAAGCAAAATATGATTCGTGTTATTTTAAGTGCTGTCGTCAAGGTACCATGCACATTATGGGGACATAGTGGAAACAACGGGAACAAATGAGGTTACGGGGGATGGTGTCTAAAGTCAAAAGAGAAAAGGTCTCCAAATAGGACATTGCCCTCCTTGTTCATGTAATCAACCTCAGGGTATTTATTTGTCAATTTAGACTTTTTTCCTGACTTAGGGGAGAGGGAAGGAGAATAGAAAAAAAGTAGCCATGAGCCATGGTTAATCTACTTAAAGTAGCTATGGCTGAATGTTACAAAGAATAATTAAATCAGCCCAGATTAAATCAGATAGGGGTCAGGCCACAGGTGTATGCCTGTCAGTGTTACTTCTTGTACACACAGTACTTACTTCTGCATTTTCACTATTCATATCCTGCAGAAACTCTGAAACACTCTTGTGATGGTAGTGAGTTCAGGCCTTTCTGTGCCCCAGGATCTCTTGGTTTTGCATCACCTAAAATGACTGTTCTTGGGAAGAAACAAATCCACTAGGACCATAGGCTTATGTCAGGTTCAGACTGGACAAGACCTTGAAGGTCACTGAGTCAAAACCCCTACTTCGATTTTATTTATATACATTTTTCCATTTGAAAAGCAGTATTAGTCCTTTACTAAAACCCAGCTAAGATAATAACTGTATTTATTTTTAAATGTATTCCCTTCAAGTCTTTTTCTATATATATTTTTCTATGGAAACACTACAGTAGTAATCATATTGGATCTCCAATTTTGTCTCTGGCTTTTTTACTTAACATTGTGTCCTGTACACTTGAATTTTGTATTATGCAGCCCTCAGCACCATTGTAATGGTTTTAGTAGTTTATCAAACGATTTATAGAATCGTTTTCTTAGTCGGCCTCCTGTTGCTACATTTAGTGTTTCCAGTTTTGTGGGGAGAGTGATTCTATGCATAATATGATAGTAAATATTTCCCTATAGATTTTTCTATATTTTGGACTTTTCCTTGGCCTGGATACCTGGAAGTGAGTGACAAGTGAGTTAGGGAACGTGAGCACATGCACAGCTGGTCGTGCATGTTGCCAAATGGTTTTTGAAAGAGGACTGGAACAGTTGAAATCAGTTAAGTCTTTCAGATTTCACTTTCACCACCTAGGCCAGTAAATTGAAGGCTGGAGAAGTTAAATGGCCACCTGAAGTCCCCTGGTTTCTGTGCTCAATCTGACCTGTAACCCAGAAGTGCTGATATCGGTCAACATTAGACTTCATTAGGCTGGCTTTACTTGTCCTTTTTCACAAGTCTCTGTACACTTTTGCCGAAATGATTTTTCACAAATATTCCAGATACATTTGTATTTAAAGTAGACATAAAGTTATGTTCCTTTACCTTTATTACTATCAGTATCCAGAAGAAAATAGACAGGTGTTCAGGGAATTCGCTGGCGGTCCAGTGGTTTGGACGCCGTGCTTCCACTGCAGGGGGCATGAACTTGATCCCTGGTCAGGGAGATCCCTCAAGCCACACAGTGCGGCCAGAAAATTTAAAAACAAAAAAAGGTATTCCCAATATTGAGATTACATTGTTAACATTCATTATATATTAAAAATTTTTTTTCTGCCTTCTAGTTACTGCACAGAATATAGCTATATAACAATATAACCCACTTCACTGATAGAAAATCAGTGACCAAACTTTATTTGTGGCTGGATGGAGTTCTTCTTTCCAACATTCTCCCTTGCTTCATAGGGATGGTCACAGTTTTTATGATGGCAAGACATGCGCACGCACACACAATGGTATAGAGGTATGATGCTTCTCCGAAATCTGTCTTTTAATGACATGTGAACACTAATTTATAGTGTGTGTATCTCACTAAATGCCACTACCAGAAAGTTCACTTTGTTTTTACATCAGCATTTGAGTATAGCAGTAGTCTAAGTTTGTACCATGAGGAAGTGAAATAGAGGGCAATGTATTTCAAATATAGTAGTTCAGGGTTACTGATTTGCATCTACTGATGGATATTTGCTTTATTTTTATTAAAGGTCAGTCGAGCTCTGCGTCAGAGAACACTATTGGCGCCATGTATAAAACCCGAATCCCCAGCACAGCTCACTCTCTTAATTCCTTCCGTGCTGTCAGATACTATTCTAAAGTCGTCCCTTCCTATGATGCCTCTGCCGTAACAAATCAGGACATTACGGTACATTTTCCAACAGCTGTGCCCAAAGTCTCGAAGTTTGTTCCTCAGCACTGCAATTCTGTGTTGGGCCAGGCATGTGCAGCACACCCCAACTGTCTGGTAAGTTTTCTGGGGTCTGTGGGTCAGGCTGGGCTCTTTCATCCCAGCCAGCAGGAGCCCCTGGCCTGCGTTTTGTTGTTCATGCTCTGGTTAGAAACCTCATCGCCTGGCACCGGGGGAGTCAGCCCAGGCTCTGGCTCCCCGTGCCGCCCCACTGCTCTCTCCATATCCAGAGTTGGTGAATCTGGACGTGGCTCCGCTGCTATGACTGGAAGTGACCAGGCGGAACCTAATCTCCTCTAGAGCCCCTCCTCGCTACCCCCGCTCGACCCCGCATTCTATGATGCCACCTCCCATTCCACCAGCCGCACCCTCAACTGGCACAGTGGCTCGCTGCTGATTTCTCTCTTAGGCTGGCACCAGTCACTCACACTGTATGACAGCCTGTTCTTGTGACACCAACCAGGCCGATTTCAGATCCCAGGTGTCCTCATAGCACAGATACTTATTGAGCACCCACTGTGTTCTAGCATTGTGCTAACCACCGGAAATGTAGTATCTAAAGATAGACCACAGTCCCTGCCCTCATGAATCCTAAGTCTCACAGGGAAGCGGGCATAGAAGCAGACAGTCGTGATGCGCATTGGCGCGCACAGGAGGAGACCCTCGTGTCTATAGGGTAATACAGGTGTGGGCAAGGATTGGGACTGCTTACCCCTGGAGGAAATACTGTGTGAGCTGAGATCCAAAGAGTAAGAATTAGCCCAGTGGAGAGGTTAGGAGTTGGGAGTGAGCAGGGGGAAAGCATTCCAGGCGGATGGATCAGCATATAGAAACAGTGGTATCTGCATTTTTGGGAAGAATTGTCCAATTCTAGAGGAAGACCTGAACTTGACTGGCCTGCTTAAAATGGACTCTGATAGCCTTAATATAATTACTGATACTTTTGCATATTAATAATAGTTACCATGTTTTGAGCACTCAATAAGTAATGTGCCAGATACCCTACGTACTTAATGTGGGTGATCTAATGAATCTTTGACACAGTCATTGAGGTAGGGACCGTTATTTCCATATGACATCTATAAAGTGGGAATAATAGTGACTTTCCCAAAAAACATTTATGAGAAAAATGTTTGAAAGAGCGTTAGAAAGAAATTTTAAAATATGAAGTATCCACAGATATAATGCTGTTACTAATGGTCATTAGTATACCAGCAGGAAAACCAGAGTAAATGAAGGAAAAAAAGATTGCAATGTTATTTTTTTAATTGTGACCTACCCTTACTGTATGTAGTTTTTTCGGAGAATTGTTACAACAATATAAAATTACTTTTAGTAACTATGAATAATACCTATTTTAAAACCTGTAGTGTATTCACCCAAGGAGTTCATGGTTTTACAAATTATTTCCTATTGCTTGAGGACATAGAAAATGTATTTGTGACATTATGAGTAAGAACAGGCCAGGATTCAATTAATGTGGTTTTTTTTTTTTTTTTCACCTTTGCAGCAACAGTTTTGGGCGTATTAATAGCACATGTTTGAAATTCACACTCTAGACCACCTATTGGGTGCCGTTTGACAATACAGGAAGAATGGAACAAAGAATGATCTTGAAAGCTACACCCAGAGACCTAATATCAAAAGGGTTTGCATTGTATGGCTTCTGATAAATGTGCTAAAAGCTTCTGCAGTCAGAAAGACAGGCAGCAAAAGTGCTAGCCATAGGTTTTTACTTCACACATACTTGGATCTCCCCCAACCCAGGTGCTACAAGAACAAACGGCCTAGGTGAGCTAGACTCTTTTTTTTTTTTTTCTCAAAAAATATTCCACAATTTATGCAAAAGGTACATGATAAAGAAGATCCACGTAGACTGAGTAAAGTGCATTGGTGTCACTAAGTACAGATGTTGCAGCTTGATTCTTATTTTTAGTATCACTGTGAATTACTGTCACTTATTTCTAGGTGGTATCTTTTCCAGATTTGACATTTTAGAGAGCTTCCTTGGTTATTCACTATTCAAACTCAGATACCATAGCTTAAGAGAGGTGTTTGCCTCCTCACTTGACTACTAATGAATAAATTGACATGTTTGTTTTTGCATTTCACCATCCCTTGAGTGAAATGATAGCTAATAGGTAAATTTTTCTTTCTGGCTCTTTAGTTACAGACTAGCAGGTCTTTCTTTGTTTTTCATCTCCTTCTCCCTATGGGCATCAGAAAAGATTGCTGAAAATAAGGGGAGAAAAATGTTTGTTTTATATTTCACTAAAATGTTCTTATGCATAATATAAGTATTATTGTTAAAGAAAATATTCAGTTCTGACCCTCAAAACGGTAACCCATTTTTCTGTTTAATAAATATGTGTTCCCTCTTTTAGTAGTACTGTGTAGGGACTTTAATTTTACAAGATTTTTGAGGATTTGGAAAAGTACTTTCAGCATAGCCAAATTTTCATGTTAAATTGTATAACTTTTCTGAGGATGGCATGGTGATGGAATTTGTAGATGTTTGACAAACTTGATAAAGGAACTACAAGTTTCCAACTAAGATTCTATGCTTATTATTATAAATGTGTGCTCGACTCTTGCCTTTGGGGGTAGTAATGGCTTTGACATTGTAGGAGAACCTGTTGAGGTATTTTGAGTATTTTGGGATGACTTCATATGTTCACAGCTGGTCTTAATTTCTACTGGGGCTTTTTCTTTGCATCAGCGTTTTCCTAAATTCACACGTGGACCATGAGACACAGCCTGTGGCTGGGAATTCTACCTAGAGAGGTGACCCACAGATCCTGTCTACCTGCTGTTATCAATCCCCTTTTTCCTTTCAGCATGAAGAGGAGACTACCAGATCAGTCTTTTTTTTCAACGCTGGTTCCCATGATCCTGAACTTCATGCAAATGTCCAAATTCATTTTTAATACCAGAATTTTAGTTTTAATAAATTATGCTCTTCCAAGTCAGTTCAACTCTCAGCCGGGGAGGAAAGGTTAGTTGGGCCTCAGCCTGTAAAGAAGAACACACTTTTCCTTTGTAAAATCAGGTTGACCGGTCATGAGACAGTTGCAGTGTTGTTTTCACAATGAAAAGGTGCAAAGAGTTTGTCTAGAAAAGTTGGCAGCTTGCAGTTTTCACATTGGTGGTTATAGCAGCCCCTGTCCCTATCCAAACAGGGAGTAGGGGCAGAAGCAAATATTTATTGAGCCCTTTCTGTGGCTTAGGCAAATTATGAGACATACCCTCGAGGGAGAGGAACTTGGCCTTACTTGTTTCTAGACCCTCATTGTCAGCTGTCTTGCTGGCTGGCTGGCTGGATGTACACGTGCTTGGATGGGTACCTGGGGGAATGAGGACCCAAGAGGAAGGAGGCGTCTGAACATGGGTGATGATTATGAGAAGGGAAAGGGGGGGACGTGGTCAAGCCCTTAGGGACCTGTTTGAGGTCAAGAGGGAAGGAAGAGTGGAAGTGGATATTTGGCCATCCATCACTGTAGTTTTTATTGAGAGTGTATCACTACTCTGTTTACACTTATTTCCTACCCTTCACCATACTTTTCTAATATATGAGTTGTGTGGTCTCCCAGCATAGCAGAAATGGCAGTCATTGGTAGTGTTTATAAACAAACTGTTGTGTGTTCAGTGGAGAACATGCAAATGTTGAACACCTCAAAAATCATTCAGTTATTTATTAATTTGTTCAGTAACTATTTGGCAGGCATTGTCTTAAATGCTGGGAAAACAACTATATATATGACATCGTCTTTTTTAGTTTTTTGTCTAGGAGCTTAAAGTTTACTGGGAGAGAGAGGTAGGCTGGAACTGCAGTAGAGTTTGGTGAGTGCTATGCGGGGGGGGAGAATATGAAGGACTAAAAAGCAATACCCACACCATTCTGGGGATTCACGGGAGGTTTTAGGGGTAGTGACGTCTGTGCTATCCTCATTTCTGAAACTGGTGGTAACAGTACCTGCCTCTTAAGGTTGTTGTGAAGATTAAATGAGATAATACATGTGAAAGCTCTTAGAACAGTGTCTGGCGCATAGGAAGCATTTAATACACGTTATTCTCATTATCATCATCATATCATCATCGCTACCACAATTATAACAATGATTAAGCTGAGATTTTAAGGACCAGTAGGCATAAACTAAGCCAAGAGGTGGAGATTTGGGGACTGGTTAGGGAGATAAGTTTTCAGGCAGAGAGACCTGTATTTGCAAAGGAACGAAGGAAAGGACAGCATAACACTTTTGGAGAAGTGAAGGTAATTCCACGTGGCTGTGCAGAGAGTTCAGGTGTGGGGTGGAGGAGGGATGGAGCAGGGAGATAGGCGGGAGCAGAGAGAGACAGGCAAGGGCCACATGACACTGCCCTCTTGGAACTTTAAACAGTTCTTTTGCTGCTGTCACGGTATTGACATCATCAGATATGCATTTTAGGGTGAGCACTCTGGCTTTGGTGAGTTAAAGGCAGAATGAATCGAAGGGGGCTTAAAGCACCTCGGGGGAAGGAGTGGCCGTTCCAATAATTCAGACAAGAGATGGCCCGAAATATGTCATTGGCTGTGGGGATGAAGAGAAGAGGCAAATCTGGTCGATATTAAGGGGGCAGAATTAGCAAGAGTAGGTAGATGATCCAATACAGGGGTGGTGAATAAGGGCAAAGTAGTAAGGATAATACCCGGGTTTCTGGCTTCGGTTGCTCGACAGATCATATCAACGCTCACTGGGGGAGCACGGGGAAAAGAGCATTTGGAGGGATGGCGCTGGATGATGACAGTTTCACCTGGGAACTCGCTGCATTGGGTGCTTGGGGGGTAGCCTAGTGGAAGCAGCTAGAACACACGTGGATCCGTGCAGCACAGGCAGGGGCTCTGGGTGAGAGATGACGACGCAGTTTAGGGCATTGTCAGTCGGGGTGGGGGAATGTTGAAGTGGGGAATTCAGTCATTAAATGATGGGATGATCCACAAGGGCCTTCTGACCCTTCAATTCTATTATCATTCATCATAAGAAGTCACTGGGTCAGGCCCCCAATGTCACATGACACCGCAAGTTACCAGAGATTTGAGACACGTGGGTAGAGCCCTCTAAGGCAGAGGGTACAACTTGCCCATGGCAGCTGTGTTTGTTTACTGTTGTTTTTTTTTAAATTTATTTTTCCTTCCAGTTTTATTGAGGTATAATTGACATACAGCACTGTATAGGTTTAAGGTGTGCAGCATCATGACTTACGTATGTCATGGAACGATGACCACAGGAAGTTTAGTGAATGCTCATCAACTCATATAGATACAAAATCAAAGAAAAAATATTCTTCCTTGTGATGACAACTCTTAGGATTTGCTCTTTTAACAACTTTCATATATAACGTACAGCAGGGTTAATTATATTAATCATGCTGTGCATCATATCCCTAGTAGTATACTTATAACCAGAAGTTTGTACTTTTGGAAACTACCTTCATCCAATTCCCCCTCTCCCCAGCCCTTGTGAGAAATTAAATTTCTCTGAATTTCTAGCTTCTGAAAAATTCAAGACATCAGCAATACTGGCTCTATTTCTCCGTAGGCAAAATAGCAACACATTGCTCAGGTAAGTAGTACCTAGCCCTACGTATGGGGTGTCAGGTTCCCTCTGGTCACATCCCACCCAGCTTGCCTCCTTCATTGAAATGACTTGCCTGGTCCCTAAAGGTATTCCAGTTTGTCCCCTACAAAGAGAATCGCTTGGGGGTTAGAGAGTGGCAGCACGTTAAAATGCACATTCCCAGGCCATGCCCCACAGGGTCAGATGCGTAGGTTTGGCTGAGCTGGTACCTGGGGATCCACATTTTAACAAACACTGCCCGAGGTGTGGCAGGCATCTGATTATCCTACTTAAAAACCCCCAGTGCACATAAATGAATGCAGATATCCAGAGGAGACACGAAAACAGAATAGATGCAAACTAAAACCGTATGTCATTGACTTCCAAACCTGAAGCCCTTGTATATTTATGAAAACCATGCATTTGGGAGCTCCTGTCTCAGAGATTCTGATTCTGTAATTCTAGGATGGGGCCCAGTAATCTGCATAGAGTGATTCTGATGTGCAGCCAGGTTTTGGAGCCACTGTTAGATTCGTAACATGCTAATCACGTGTGTGTTGAGAACAGATGTCAGGAGATGAAGCAGGGGGAGCATATCCTCCCAGATCTCCGCAGGTCACAGGAGAGGATCATTGCTGCCCCACTGGGTGACGGAGAAAGGTTTTGCTGAGGAGGTGAGTTTCAGAAACTGCTTTGGTAAGTTAGATGATTGGGTAAAAACACTGCACACCCAGAGTATAGCTGTGGGGAAATTCAAAGGTAGGAAAGGACCCAGGGAGTTTTCAGCAGTCCAAAAATGGGCAGAAAATCTAAACAGACATTTCTCCAAAGAAGGTATACAGATTGCCA